TCCGCAAGTTCACGGAATTTGATGGGAATGCGGAGTTGCTTCCGCAGTGGACGGGGAATTCTGATCTGTGCACAGGGTGGACCGGTGTGCGGTGCGCGGGACCGGGGATCATCACCGAGCTGGACCTGTCTTATGTCTCCTCTCCACCGGGACTGGGGGGAGGAATTCCTCCTGAGCTAGGGCAACTCAGCAGTCTCATCTCCGTTGTCTTGAGCAAGCAACGATTCACCGGACCAATCCCTGATAGCTTGGGCAACCTGTCTTTCCTGCAGAACTTAGCTCTGGACAACAACCAGCTGACGGGCTCCATTCCGGCCACGTTTGCGAGCTTGCGACAGCTCGAGAACCTTACGGTGCAGCTCAATTCGCTCTCGGGGGAGGTCCCCGAAGCCTTGTTGAAAAGCTCGAGCTTGAAGACCTTCCTGTCTGTTGGTGGGAATAACAGCCTTTGCGCGCCTTCCACTGTTGACCAAGGGAGCACTCGTGGTCTGAAGTACTGCGAAGCAGAGGTCAGCACAGGGAAGAAAGGCCCCCCTACAGTTACCCTGGTGGTGATAACGGTTGTTGGCGCCAGCCTGGTGATAGCGCTGACAGCCTTCTACGTGATGAGGAGGAGGAGGAGGAGAAACGAGTCCTTGCTGGGATCGTACACGGACTCCGATTACACAACGAAAGCGTGTAGAAAAGGAGGCCGGCATGGACGTGACAAGGGGTTGCCCGAGAGCGACAAGAAAGTGGGGCAACGATTCACTCTGCAGGAGCTGAGAAAGGCGACGGAGGACTTCGACCACACCAGGGTGATTGGAACGGGTGGCTTCGGGAATGTGTACAAGGGAGTGCTGGAGGACGGAGATGTGGTTGCAATCAAGAGAAGCAGTCCGGAGTCGAAGCAAGGAATGACAGAGTTCCAGACGGAAATCATCACTCTCTCGAAGCTGCGGCACCGCCATCTGGTCAGCCTGGTCGGTTACTGCGACGACGAAGGGGAAATGATTCTTGTCTACGAGTACATGGCTCTGGGTACTCTGCGCGGGCACTTGTATGGAAAGACCTGTGGCACAGAGTACTCGCCGCTGAGCTGGCGCAAACGGCTGGAGATCTGCATAGGGTCGGCGCGCGGACTGGACTACCTTCACTCCGGCGTGCAGGAGATGGTCATTCACAGAGATGTGAAGTCTACAAACATACTGCTGGACGACAAGTATGTGGCCAAGGTGGCAGACTTCGGTCTGTCGAAGTCGGGACCGAGTGGATTCAATGAGACCCACGTCAGCACAGCGGTCAAGGGAAGCTTTGGATACCTCGATCCGGCGTACTTCAAGAGTCAGCAGCTGACAGAAAAGTCCGATGTCTACAGCTTTGGCGTAGTGTTGCTGGAGGTCGTCACTGCTCGCGCGCCGATTAGCCAGAACCTTCCCAAGGAGCAGGTGAACCTTGCGGATTGGGCCGTGCCGTACTTGTTGGCCGGGAAAGTCGAACAGATTGTAGACCCCAAATTGGTTAACACCTATGGCACTGCTTCTCTGTACAAGGTGGCCGAAGTAGCTCTGCATTGCCTTGGTGAGGATCGTGACACACGTCCGTCGATGACGGACGTGCGGCGTGGATTAGAAGAGGCCCTGATGCTGCAGGACACATCCCTCAGTGTGGTTCTCGACACGCCCCCTGCGCCGATGATGTGTGTCAATTACGACAGTGAATACCACGACTACACCAATGCCACAGGTACTAGTGACCCTCCCAGCCCTCCAGATTCCGTCCTCATGGCCAGGTGAGGCCAGTAGCTATGAAAGTTGGACTAAGGAAATTGATGGATATCAGAGGGGAGGGGAAGTGAGGAGAGGAAAGGAGGCCAGACCTGATGGCAGGCTCTGTCTGGTGGCTTTCTCCTCCCTCCGTTAATATTCCTCCCCTCCTCTATCTCATCACAGGACTTAACGACGATAAGCGAGAGGAGACGGGAGCAGAGACTGTTGATGGATGGTATCTGCTTGCTTGCTGCTGTCGTACATCCCTCCGCTCTTTCCTGTGAGTACCATGAATGGTGCTGCAAATGGTACCAGACGGCCGTTGGAAGGGTGATGGGCAATGAGAGAGAGAGAGAGAGAGAGAGAGAGAGAGAGAGAGAGAGAGAGAGAGAGAGAGANGAGAGAGAGAGAGAGAGAGAGAGAGAGAGAGAGAGAGAGAGAGAGAGAGAGAGAGAGAGAGAGAGGATCCTGTTCCCTCCTGCTCGCCTCTGGTTTTGTGGCTGCATTTGACCTTGTGGCGAGGTGAAGGGAAAGGAGAGGAGCAGAGCTGAGGCTTCCTGCAAGCAAGGTGCTGATCCTCACTGCTATGCTGTCGGCTCTGTCCAGTTGTGCCTCCCCCCTCTTGTCCTTAATCTTCTGGACATCTGCAAGGGGAAAGAGAGGGTGGGAGAGCACATGATAGGAGGGAATAGGGAGAGGGACAGAGCAGGTTCGAGCGGCACCAAGGGAGGATAGGAGAGAAGGTGAGGCTGTCTGGAAGCACGTGCTTGCGGGCACTGGACTTCCTTGTTGACAGTCTCTGTCTTTCCTTCAGGCCGTCGACTTGCCCCTACCGTCCCTTCCTCTTTTCCTCTTTGTCTTTTATCTAGGCATTCCGGCTTACCTTTGCATAATTCTTTGGTATGTAAGAGTTTCCTACTTCGCAAAAGCGGTGCAGATGGAGACCAGTGAAATGCGGAGATGAGGAGACCTCTCCGGGCCTTAATCTAGACCCTTGGCTTGCCTTCTTTGCGTAATTCTTTGGTCGATATGGCCATACGTAAGTAAGATGACCTCCTGCTTTGGAAAAAGTGGTGCAGATGGAGGCCTGTGAAGATGTGACGACAAAGGAGATCGGATCGTGTGGCTGCCGGTTGTGATGCTGTCTTGTCTCCTTTGATGACCAGACCAGATATGTATGTTCCTGCAGATGAGCTGACGGCAACATGTGCATTCTATTCATTCGATCTCAACAAGAGGGCTTCTGGACGCCGAGGGCAAAGCTTGTATCTTCTCTTCTCATCTAGACTGATCGACTGGGTTCCCGCGATTACAACGGGTTGATTATTGTGTGTATTCATCCAAAGGAAGTCCAAAGACCGAGGGCACTATGCTGGAATCGAGGGACGCTCCGGCTGGGGCCACTATTCTTTTATCCGCTGACTAGCAACTGCTAATAACTCGAATCTCTTCTTAAGGCTGTCATGACCGTCGACTTTTTCGCTCGTTATCTTTTCTGAACCTGGCTGCCTTTGAAGTACGATTCATAATTCGAGGCGATGGGGGCAGGTCCATCCTGCCTGTTCGTTGGTAGGGGCAGAGTAGTTAATCGACTGCCTCAAAGGTGGTGAGGCTGATCTTCCGTGTGGGACCGGTTTGTGATTTCTCAACCTTCTTTGGGTTCTACTCAGCAGCTTTCTCTATACACTGCAATTCACCGGCCTTCTTTCGGTGCTTAGTCCTGAACTACCTCAATCAAGTTTGGTAATGGCTTTGCAGGTGCCAGTGATTCATCCTGCCTTGCGGGGTCGTGTTCTTCTCGAGGTCGATGTGATTGATCCTGCAAATGTAGTGCTGTTCTATTAGGGAATTTTGCTGCAGCTACACACTGGATGTGTAGGGAGAATGTGGCGCGTGTAGGGAGAATGTGGCACACGAAGACGAACACACAACGTCTTTCTGTTCTGACACGCGGCGGTTGCTCGATTACCTGGCTGCAGCAAGTCTTTTGGCTGGGATCTATGAAGCAGCAGAAGGTGCTGGCAGTGATTCATCCTGCCATGCGGGGTCGTCTTCTTCTCGAGGTCGATGTGATTGATCCTGCATATGTAGCGCTGCTTTATTAGGGAATTTTGCTGCAGCTACACACTGGATGTGTAGGGAGAATGTGGCGCACCAAGACGAACACACGTCGTCTTTCCGTTCTGACACGCGGGGTTTGCTCGGTTACCTGGCTGCAGCAAGTCTTTTCGCTGGGAGCTACGAAGCAGAAGGTTCTGTCATTATTTCACCCCTGTTTATCTTGTCCTTTTCCTCTGTTTTTTTTTTTCCCCCTTTTTTCTGTCCGAATGAGCTGACTACGACCATATGGGATGGATGGGAAACTGCCTGATGCCAAGCCATAAGGGAACAGGTAAGCATGCTAACGTGCTGAGGGATGATTCATTTATTGGTAGTCTTACCGCAAAAAAAGAATGAGATTGCACGGTGTCCTGCAAGCGCACTCGTTATGGGGTGACAGATCACTGTTCTCTGTTTCATTGATTTGAGGAGAACCGCGGTTAATTTATGGTGGATGATTTCTTGCATCTCGAGGTTATCGTGCAGAGAAGGGGATGTAGAAAGGTGTCATGGCAGAGGAGTGTGGGAGGGAGGAAGTGGAGGAGAAGAGGGAGACGAGCTGGGGAAGTCTGATGTCTTTTCTCTGTTTCATTGATTTTAGGAGAATCGATGTGAATTTTTGTTTGGAATCATGGGCTGGTTTCTTGCATCATGAGGTTATCGTGTTGGGTAAGCAAGATAGAGATAGAGATAGAGAAGGGGGTGTAGAAAAGGTGTCATGGCAGAGGAGTTGGGGAGGGAGGAAGTGGAGGAGAAGAGGGAGAGGGGTCGGAGAATCAGAGACCAGGAGGATAATCTGAGACCAGGAGGATAATCTGAGACCAGGAGGATAATCTGGTTAGAGGGGTATATGCTATGTGAGGGGTAAGTAAGTGCATGAAGGGAAGAAGGGGGAGGGTAAGTGGGAGGGAGGAACGCTTCTCCATCGTGGGCAGCTATCTGTTTGGGCTGTGTATGCCCGATTGAAATGACTAAGTAAAATACAGAGAAGACTCTTCTTCTTCTCAAAATGTAAGTAAAATACATAGAACTTGATAGAAGATTATTCTTCTTAAAATGACTAAGTAAAATGCAGAGAAGATTAGCATGGCCCCTGCACAAGAGAGACAAAAAAAGAAGAAGGCATTATGCAGCGGGGGTGTTTAAAAAAAA